AACCGCTGTTAATACAGGATACGCTGCAATTGTTAGCAGTACAGAAAGCAATTATTAGAGTGTACATGTGCAGCCTGGAAAACCTCACCTTAGTAGGAATCTGAAGCACTGGCTACCATTTTTTTCAAGCAGAAAGACTACATGAATGCCTGAAAAAAATTCTAGCCAGTTTTTAATTAAAAAGGGGCAAGCAATGACATCGATGCATAGCTAATAAGAAGGACTATTCTAACATAGCCCTAATTTAGAAAGGGATTACTGGAAAAAAGATACGGGATGAAATATGAATTCTCTATTACAGATACCACTACATTACACCCAGAGGGAAAAATAAAAAATTAAAAGAAAAAAAGAGAGATAGATACACCAGCTTCTGGGAGTTTATCATCTAGCTTTATTTAGTAAACCTGAAACCAAGCAACACAGCCATATTGGTCTAATGCAGGAATGGATTCATGACAGTTTTAATAAAAAGTCTGAAATGTGATCCTGATCTTCTCCCTCATTTCCTGAGAAGGTTTCAAAACAGACACCACCCCCCACCCCGTGTCCTACTCCTATCCCCAAATACTGCTTTTGCAGCGTACTTGGTTGGTGCACCACGTAAAGACACAAAGGCTTCCAGTCAAAGGGAATATGAATCTGTGATTCCTTGCTGGTTTACGAAATCTAGCAAAGTTTTTAAGCTGAGGTCATGAAAACTTGTGAAAAGGCTACAGAGGTTAGTTTGATGGTGCCGAGACCTGAAACATCAGCGTGGAAAAAAAAAAAAACCAACCCCAAAAAACCCAAGTCTTCTGAAAGCCAGTCTGTGTATGCAGATTGCTCTGACAGGTGCTCCCAATGCATACCTAGCACATCCTTAACTAGAAGGGAACTAAAAATAAAATTTCAAACTTACTTCTGCATGTCTTCCAGTACTAGACAGAACTACAGACTTCTTTTCCATCTAGTACGTTTCTGAGGTGTACTTACTCAAGCCTGAGATGCGAACGGCAACACTGAAGTCTGGAAAGGGCTTTCACATCCGTATTTCATGGCTGCACAACCTGCCCAGACAAGTCCATTATGCTGTACTTGAACTTGATTCTATTATAAGCACTAAAGACAGTATTGGTAAGGACTTATATGCAGGAATACTCATGTGACAGAAAAGGACTTTTGGTTTTTTCCTGTTTCCTAGCAAACCTAGGATGTAAAGGAATGAAAGGGTGAAGTTCAGTCTGGTAGCTACCTACACTTCTTGCAGAAAGGTTACTTAAATTGTATTATGTCCGAGATTAATTTGAGCTCATTCTGAGCACTGAGATCCACAAACACAGGGAATGGAGTAGTTTATCAGAATAAACTAGTTGAGCAGAATGGCCTGAAGCACCACAAG